CTCTGCCATACTCTGCCACGCCGCTGCTCCGCCCGCTCTGCCCTCTGCCTGTCGGGGTCGGGGTCGACCTGCGGCGGGTCCCAGCGCGCCCCGTGCCGCCCGCTGCTGCTCGCGGCGCTCTCCCCCGCGCCGATCTCGAGATCTAGAAATCTCTTTTCCTTTTGGCTCTGAGCGACCGAAAGCGCCGCGGCTGCTACTGCCTCTGCCGCGCCGCCACCACGGGTCGTGAGAGCTCAGGGTGTTCATGGAGCCGGCAGCAGTTTTCCCCTGGCCATGCTGGAGCACCCAGTCACGTGGGACGTGCGAGGGACTTAATGTCCAAATTTCTGCTGCTGTCGGCTGCTGTTCTCTTGCTGCCAACTGCTATTGCTCGGGGCACCCCGACGCTCATATGACGCGAGCAGTTGTTGCGGATGGGTCCCATTATATCGGTTCGATTCAGGCGTACATTACTGGAAAAAACATAGGTGCAAAGTCCTACCCTTAAAAGGCTCGTAAGGCAGTGCTGAAGGCTGAAGGCTAATCCTCAACACCTACCGACCTTTAGGGCTCTTTGGTGCCTTGCCTATATAGAGGCACTAAACTAAAATTTTCTTAAGCACCCCTGGGGGAACTTGTGGTTAACATTTTAGTTTTTCCGGTGAATTTGTCGATTCTTGTACAATCGGCAAGGTATGGCCGTATAGCGAGGGGTGCCTAACTCCATAAAAATGTGTACACCGGATTACCAAATTGTAAAGATTACCAATGATTACCAAAGATGACCCACGATTACCTATGTATACTAGGTATGATCCACCTGTATTCTAAATCGCAACGGCCATTTTTGTTTCGAGAAAGATGCATTTTTGTGCAACTCTGTGGTAGTTTTTGACTCTTTTTCACGCAAGTTAGAAATTTGCATTCTATGATTCGCCAAATCATGATTTAGTCCATCGGAGGGATGCAAAGTTGCCAATTTCAATTTACACATCCGCGTTGACATTTAGGCAAGATATGCACAAAAATTCATGTTTAAATTAACAAAATTGCCCTTTTAAAGCACCCTCACGAGTGTGAGGATTACCAAGTCTGTGTACACCTGATTACCACAGTTGGGCACCCCTCGCCGTATAGTGAAAATAATGACACTTTCCTAATAGTTTCGATACGAAGGTTCGAAACATTATCGCGTCACATGTTCGTCACTACTATGAGATGCGGCTATAAACTCTTGGCCACCGCGGCGACTGGAGTTGAATGGTTGTTACGGCGACGTGAACGCGCCCACGCGGCCGGGATTAGTCGAGGGGCGGCTGCGTTTGTCGTGACATAACGTGGGCACCCCGCCGCGCAGCCGCGCACTGCTGCTGCGTCCACGAGCGCTCGTCAGAGTCATCTTCGGCGGTGGTCGTCGTGTCGTACCCCCGCATCACCCCCCCCCCCCCCCCCCCCCCCCCCCCCCCCCGCCCTGCCTTGCCTTGCACGAAAGAAACATCGCCCAGAACCATACATTGTGTGACAACGGTGGTATTTGAGTCTAGGATGACCGAAATGACCGCATGAAACACTGTTGTGGTGCTTTTGTTTGGTTCAGCTGAGGGAGCTAAGGGGTGGGAATTTAGAATACCGTAGGGTTACCGTCATTTCGTTGTTTTTTGTTTGAACTTTCGTCGGGCTTTTGTGGATCGATGGCCTCCACTCTAGACACGTACGAAAGGTGGCCAAAGTATAACAGAAAAGTCGAAGTGTGTCGTTTTTTTGGTGTGTTTTTTTTATTGTTTGAAAGAAAGAGGCATGAATATGACGCGTTGCATGCACCTCGTGTTGTTTGATAAGGTCGGCGTCCTGTCCTCCTTTCCCCACATCTAGACCCTGCTGCCGCTGCTAGATGTGCCAGATACAAAGGGCCTCGGCTTGCGGCCGGGCCGTGGGCCGCGCTGGGCCGGGGCCCGGGCCCGGGCCGGACCGGGCGGGTGCATCCGAGCCGAGTGAAAGTTGTTGGTCGGAGCCGTTCCGCCTTGGCCCTCAGAGAAGGGCCCCCGCCGCGGGGGGCTCGCGCGGGGGAGCGGTGGGAGGGGGCGTGGTTTGGGAAGCTCAGGCGCCTACAATACGTTTGCGGCTTGGGCCGTTTTCATTGAGTGTCGGTGCTGCGAAGTAGTAGTAGTGGTGGAGTCATTGGCCGAAGCCGGTTGGACCGTTTGGGCCTACGGGGTGTCTCATAGGCCCCGCATGCAGGTGTGCGGGCAGGCTTGGCTACAGTCGCTCGCCGAGGGTAGACAACCCACCCACAAGCCTAAAATGCAGAACCGTTTATTTTTAGATTTCTTTTATTTTGCGTTAGTCGCTTCATTCTCCCCGTTTGCTCGGCAGGGTCTCTGTCGGGTCTGGCTTTCGCTCACAGTTTGACCTGGCTCTGCTTGTAGGCGGGAGAGTGGCGTGTGGCGTGGAGGTGTGTCGGGTCATTCAACGTGACTCGCATGCCGATGCGTCCTGCCTGCTGCAGACGTCAAGAAATGTGTGTTAGCGTGAGGGGCATGTGTGTCTGTGAGAGAGTGTCAGTCAGCTATATCGATCGCGAATAGAAAAGCAGTCTGCGTGTCCCTCCTTCTCATTCGCTCGTTTGTCGGCGGCACGCGAGGGGCGGCGGTGCAGTGGTTGTGGCTCCTGCTGT